ATTGTCCCACTTTATGTCATATTCATGTTACTGTTGAAAGGCCATCTTTGTGCTCCCACTCCCTATTCTGACAATATCCAGGTTTACTTTGATACCTCTAATCATTCTCCCACTTTAAAGCATGCATCTTATTTTATTGAAAACAAAACTACAAAAAACTTTTTAAAAAGTTTTTTAACTTTCAAATCAACCTGACAAAGAAAAAGCTCTTACTAACCCAGTCTAAGCTTTCTTAAGTTCTTGGAAATATACAATTCTCTTCTGAGCAGGTTAAAAATGTTAAGATCAGTACCCTGACCTTCTGCCCTCTAGGCCACTTACTAACTCTCCAAAGTCTATTTAACTCTCTTCACGACACCACTTGGAGTAACCTCTTATCAAGGCCACTGAATGCTACTAACTAGGAAGCTCTAAAAAATGACTTAAAAATTCTGTCTTCAAGTCATCAGTATTATCTGGTGTTCAGGCATAGCTATTTAAGGGGAAAAAAATGACTCCAGTGTCCAAATTACATCATTTGCTTTATACTTCCATGTGCTTCATGTGGTCCCAGAGAAGACTCAGATGCCCTATCATTTACCATAGGCTCCATTTCCCAAAAACTATAAGCCTAGTAACCTCTGTCCATTTTCTTCTAATGGAAACCTCCTCCTTAATTCTCCAACCTCATTTTTTTTTCCCTTAGGGCCCAATTAAATTCTGAAGTCTCTATTACCCACTCCTTTGTCTTCAAAGACCAACTGAAATCACTGCCCCACTCCTCATTAAGGAAGGGCACAAAACCACCTTTTTACACTGAATCACACCTAATCTCCCTGTGAGTGGTCAGGCTCTGAGGGCCACACAACCCTCCATCTGAAGTATATTACATGCAACATGGATTCTTTCCAAATTACTATTTACTTCATCACTGCATTCGTCCATCTGTTCTTTCTTCCTTCCTTCCTTCCTTCCTTCCTTCCTTCCTTCCTTCCTTCCTTCCTTCCTCCCTCCCTTCCTTCCTTCCTTTCTTTCTTTTGATATTAGGGATTGAACTCAGGGCCTTGCACATCCTAGACAAGTACTCTACCACTGTGCTACTTTGGAAGAATGTTGATTTTAGATTTGATAAGCAAGTATGCTTGCATTTTATACATTCACTATCATGTGCTTATAAATAATTTCATCTGTACTCTTTTGGAAATAATAAGAGTGAATGGGAAATTGGTAAACAATTAAAAAATCAAAAGGTGGGTGGAAGGGTTAAGGAAGAAGAAAAAGAGAGGCAGAAAGAGAGTCAGAGAGAACAGTTCATGTTTATTTTAAGAATTTTGCTACAAAATCGCTTCACAGGTTTGGATGAAGGTTTTGGGACCTCATCTGGTGCAGCTTAGACCTCCTGCCAGTGCTTGGGAAAAAGAAAAGAGAAGCTTGGCCCTATTACTGATGCTACAGAACAGCCACAGGATCCTCACACCCTGACACAACAAAATTATCCATTTAAGCACTTTGCTTTTTTCTTTCCATTTAGTGAAAGGGTTTTATTGTAGCTTATTTTGTATCACAATCTTGTTATTTTCCCCCTCTGACATCAAGCTGTAAGATTGTCTTAGAGCCAGGCACAGCCAGAGACAGAGATGAGAAGAATGTGCAGGCACCAAGAAAGTGGTTTCCTAGCAACAGTAACTATTTCAAAGGTTTCATAACTCTTGTGTAGTCTCAATTTCCATAGCAATGTGGAGAATAGTAAATAGTATATGCGATTATTTGCTTAATCCAAATGAATTCTAATCAACAAATAATGATACATGCAATACATCTTATTAACTATACATATTAGCCTTAAGATCTAGTTTTGTTGCTAAAAGTAGTATGTTGTGATAAATCAGATGGCTCAAAAATTTTAAATTCCTTTTTCCTTTTTTGGCTTTCTCTTGTTTTTCAGAGGGATTTACTAAAGCAATTCAAAAGGTATTCCAGAAGAAGAAACTGCATTGTAAGGAGAAAAATTTCATGGAATTTAAGTGTTAAGATGTCATGTCTGGAGATCAGAACAAACAGCTATGCAAATATTCAAATTGCTTTTAAAAAGAATAAGTGGAATATAATTGAGTTGGCAGTGCCAGTGTGATCCTTTCTCTCTTCTTTCCTGATTAGAAATTATTTTAATTTTAAAATTGGACCCGCTAAAAGCAAGGGAACATTTCAAATAAATTTGGCTCCATACACAGCACATTAAAAATGTTATGATTTTCAGTGTTTCTTCTTTAACTACAAGGCTCTCTTCCAACCTCCTCCTCAGAAAGAGTCCACAAGCAAATATAGGGACAGCCTCTTGAATTCATATTGAAACAACCATTAAAGACTAAAAAGGACCAAATTATGTTAGAGTGTGTCTGAAATACATAGAAATATGTCTATATGACTCTAGTGCCTAAATCAGAAAGTAGTATTTTCTTACATTGCTTATATATTTTAAGAAAGAAAAATCCATATGAATTAATTGTGATATTGCGAAGAAAATCTCTTAAAGTGAAAAAGTAGTAGAGATGAAATGGTATTCTTAGGGTCTCCTGTAGATTATCAAGATGATTGAGAATAGTTAATTTTGGCCCATATTTTATACGCATCTACCTATTCCAATTGCTTTGGTGTATTTTAATGGACTTACTATTTCATAACATGTCACTGGAGAAACAGGGGACATGGAAGAGGCTTCTGTTTCTTAGGCTGTGGTCAATGCTAGTAACCAGAAATATTACCAGATAGACTATTGCTAGTGCCAGGCAGTACACATGTAGTGGGTCAAAAGGGACCTCTGGGAAGCAAAGAGGCCTCCTGTGATAAGTTCCATGGGTATGTGAAATTCTTTTAAATAAAAATCTTTTCATTTTCAGTAATGAAATTCCTCTTAAGAATTCTGAAGGACACTTTCCCTACAACTGAAATCTGTTCATGTATAGCAGTGTTACAGGGTATCTTTCAAGTTCAATAAAAGAAAAAAAGATGTGTCATTTCAATGTTGGAATTAAAGAGTGTTATGACATTATGCTACTAATTTATCAGCTACAAAAATTATTCAATTTGAACTAATCTTTAAAAATGCAACAATAACAGAGATGATATCTATATTTTTATTCCCCATTAATGAATAAAACATGTATTTACAGATATCTACTTCAGCAGAGACATTAATTTTATGATTTGATTTAATTGCCCTTAAATCATGTTTTTGACAGTTAATAGTATAATTAGGAAGTATGGAAAAGTTCTGATGGAAATGAAGGAGTTTTGTGCCAAATATTTTTCTTCATGCAAGCAGCAAAAACTTGATAATAAGCCATCATAATGTCTGCCACTTAAAATCTGCATATTTTGATTATCTCCTAAGACTATCTAGAAATTGTATTTATGAAGAAAAAGGAAGCTTATTTAAAGATGGGGTACATTCCTCCTCCTTAATACCTAAGGTATTAATGCCATCTGAAAATTGCATATAGGCATGTCATGCTCCTCACTTAAAGCCTGTAACAGTTCATCCTTAATTGTCCATTAAAAATGAATTATGTGTCTATTTATTTAGCATAAATCTGTTACTTAAATAGAGATAATATTAATACAGAAGTTGTAATTAGAAAAGGCCACAACCTAAATTATCATTGAACTATATTTTAGTTTTTACTCCTTTGGTACGTAGCTCAATATTTGGAAGATTTTAATGCTGACATTCTAAATTTGTGATGAGAGTACTCAGGTCTGTAAGTAAGAAAGGTCTGTAAGTAAGGTCTGTAAATTATTTCAGAATTTCCAAATGATGAAACAGCCTCTCCCCTTGCAGGATAAACTCATACTTTATCTGTTTTCTTTGTTTTTTTTTTTTTTTTTCTCACAAAATGGCTCTAGAATACACCTGTGGGTATATTGCTGACATTTGTATCTTCCTGAAATAGTACAGAGATATTGTTCTCCCCACCTGGTAAATCAGGTTAAAGCCTTTGGTTGCCTTCACACCTCATTGTACAAACTATGTGGTGCGTACTCACATGCACAGTTATCTCTTTGCAAGGTGCACATCATAATAAACTTCTCAAACAAGCCAAATAATGCAAAATGACAGAGTAGACCATTTTCTCAGAATCACTAGCATGGCACCGTGTCAATGTGTTCTTCAGTCACCACTCATCTCCAGAGTAAAATGCTAAAATGACTCATAAACCTTGTAAATACTGTGTCAGTGCTTGAAAGCATTCAGAATAATTTTCACCCTGGTTGGAAAACAACATTTTATTCCTAATCAACTCAAGTCTGCAATCTTTCACTGTCCTGAGTGGATTTGGTGTCAGTGTCTCTACTTATGAAGAATAACTTCTTCCCTCACTGCTGACAAGAAACTTCAGCCATGATGCAGAGAAATGCTATGACTGTAGGTCTACAGTTCTAGGAACAAATAATTATTGCCTATCATGCCCCATTAGGTACATTCTTTTGTATTTTCTGAACATAAACATCCATATCAAAATCATTAATCTTTATTAACTTTAACCACAATTTAGAGACAAAAGAACTATCCAGTAATCTTCAACATTTTATAGTAAAAATAAATTTAGTTAATATGAGAAATGAGAATGTGTTGTATGTAGAAGCATGAGATATCAGTGTATTATTTATTTATGAACACTGCCAATCAACCATAAGCCACCTTCCCTCTCATGTACCAGTTTCTCTAACAGATCTATCTCATTCCACATAGCATCTCTTGAATCTTCTCTCCCTGGTTCTTGGTACCTTTGGCTGTGAGTTCTTTAGCACAGACCCATACATTTTAGAGTGCCAGGGGCCCTCCTGAACTATTCCTTAAAGCTTCTCTCTAGCTTTGACTCTTAAGAAATCCCCATTGCTTAAGATAATGTGGTAAGACCAGCTTCAATCTGAAAATCAAGATATTATAATAAAAGATTATACTTTTTAGCATATATCTTTCAATTATTACTCATCTCTTGCACAAGAATCACATTTCTCACCTCTCTCCGAAGAATGCAGTGGACCATGACTATAACAAAGCCTTGCAATGAATCAAACACAGCAAAAAGTATTTGAAACAATATGGAGCGTTTATCTGTCATGGCCAGAACTGCAGACATCCATGTCAGAGCTAGAAGGGGCAACACCACACAAGAGCTCCAAAGAGAGGCCCTGTTGGGAGACAAAGAAAGCAACATTACGTAGCTGCATGTCATGCCCCAGGCCATAACCAAACCCCCGTTCAACACAGCATTCTTATATGTGGCACCAAGACTATTAACTTGGAAACCACAAAGCAGATAACATTTGAGAGTTTTATTTATTCTTTTATACACTATCCCACATAGTTATAAAGGTAGTTGCCAATTACAAATATTTAAGTATTAGCAAACACTATTTTATTTTTCATCATAGCATTTTCTCACATGCACTGTAAAGATTTGTAACAAGAAGATGTAAATGATTGGGACTAACATGGCGTTACTGGCGGTGGTGGCTGACAAAGCTGTTGTTGAAACTACTCCACACTTGGCACATTTGAGCGTCAAACCGCTATGAGGCTCACTCATCTGACTGCAAACAAACAGAACACCCACAAAAAGAACAAAATATTGAATTGTCACCAAAAAAAGTTGCTGCTGCAAGTAAGCTTTAAATATGATTTCATACAGAAAAGTATACTTATCGAAGATGAAAGCTCTAGATTGTTTTAAAGACACATTTTTACTACAATTTATCTTTGTAACATTTACCTCTTAACAATCTGGGCCTTTCTTGCATGCAAAGCATATTTCCATCATTTACACCATAAATAGCCCTATCAAAATTGCCCAACACTGAGATAAACAGATCAAAATTGCCCAACACTGAGATAAACATAAGCATGTGCTTGTGTAGACATATAGCAAAACCCTTTATTCAGACCTCTGGTACTCAAACATGTGAGGACTCCTAGCTTCAAGGACTTTCATTGTTGTTTGCAAAAGGCACACTTATCAATTAAAGCCCCCTGAGACATTAACCTCAGAAGCCCACATAGGAGCATGCATTACATATAGAAATAATACTTATATATATATATATAGCACATAATATGTATGTTAGGAGTCTTCAATTGTAGAAGAAAGTTTTTATCTCAACAACTTTGTTTTTTGAGATTTCCTGTAGTATCAATGTACTATCCATATTTTAGGATGATCTGAATATAGGGGCTGATGAAACTTGATGAAACATTAGTTGATAATAAAAAGAATGGTAGTTTTCTTTTTTTAATAAAATACATTTAATATATCTGAAGTTCAAAATTTTCTTTCTGAACATTTATTATAGGTTCCAATATCATAGCATTTAAGTGGTCTATTCTGGTCTAGGAGACTTCATATGTAAATTCAGATTCCATTTACTACATCACAGAAACAAAATTATACTACATAGAAAATTTGACATGCATTTTGCTTAAGAAAAGCATCCCTTGAAAAATAATGTTTATTAGAACATAAATTTATTAAGAAAAACAAATAAAAATTCCTTGAATAGAAATCCAAAACACCTTGAATTTTTTTTGTGTGGTGTACTTCTTTAAGTCTCTTTAAGTCTATTCCAATGTGGTGCCTATGTCTAAAATATGCCTGCCCTATGGGTTTTTTAAATAATTTATAGTAGAGTTGCATATATTATATATATATAATTATTTAAATATATATAATTATTTAAATATATATAATTATTTAAAAGAAACCAGAAATTCCAAATTATAAGCATCTCAAGGGGCAGAAGAGAGAAAATGTTAAGATACTTATAGTTTGGAATGTCAAATTTCTTTTAAATAAGTATACTCATTTGTGGATAGCCCTTAGATTAGATAATAAATATGAAAAACATAGCTTGATCAGCAGATCTCATGAGGAAATTAAAAAAAAAAAAGACCTCAGAGTTGGGGTAAGGGAATATGATACTAAATTACACATCTAAATCACTCATCTCTTGCTTTACTGAGTCAACCCAAGGCATATGTACCCAAACCAGTCACATGAACCTAAACTTCTCAAATAATATATAAGAGATAATCTGTCTAGTTTAGTTTACAAATGGTTCAGTGAGCTTGAAACTGCACCCAAAGGAGCACCTAGACTGGTGTTAACCCAGTGGTTGCACACAGCAGTTCCCTCAAATTAGTCTTTGGCCCCATCCCCAAAGACTAATTTGAGGAAACTCATGCACCTGTTTTTCTTGGAAGTCCATATATTATACTAGTGAATGAGCAAAAATGAGCACCACTGCTCTAGATCTACATTGAGCTTCTTTAATCATCTTAAATTTGATGATATTGATTTTTCAAGGGCTTGGTTTCTTCCTTTTTTTTTTTTTTTTTTCCGGGGGTTGGTTTTTTTGTTTTTTTTGTTTTTACCTTGGTTTTGGTTTTTTTTCATTTTAAGGCCTTTTTGTTTTGGTTTTTAACCCAGGCTTAAAAGTTCAAAGTTGTTTTAAAAAAAATAATTTCAAGTACCCAATACAGCAAGTATTTTAGCCCTGAAAAACTGTGATTTAACCTAAGCACTGGCTTTCCTGATTACAAATTGAAACTAGTATTCAATATGCTTATTTGTCTTTATTTGAGGCTGACTGAAAGGTCTACATATACTTTCCTTGTAGCAAACTGTTAAAAACTGTACTGGATGCTAATTTTTTGGACAGCTTTGATATTATCTTATTAGATGTGAATGGAATAGATGAATGGTAAATTACCTTGGGAAATGTAATGATTTTTTCCTAGTTTACATTACTTTACAGAACTGATGTAATATGAAGAACACATAGTCTATATGGTAGATCAAGTAGCTTCAATGAAAAATAGAATCTTTTTTCTTTGTTATAATGGAAATTATGCATTTATAAAATAAAACATTCAATTAGTTATATAAAAAAAGGAGTTGAACCGCCCATACATTCCAGTGTAACCAGGGCACCAGGGCAAGAATACAGTTGCTTTACTACTCCTCTTTCAATGAGTTCTGCCAGTTCCTATTATTACTATGGGTCTTGAAATGTACAGGTTCTAATTCCCTTCCCAATTTTATTTAATATTTTATTTAGGAAATTTTTTTATTTGATTTGTTTATTTTAATACTCTAACAGGTTACCTAAAAAGAAAATTTCCCCTCCATCTCCACTTGGAAAAATCTCATGAAATTTCTTAAGTATTCTGCTAATTAACTTCCTAAATTTAGGTAGATGACACAGAAAGTTCTACTGTAGAAAAATACAGAAAAGTACACTTTCTGTTTAAGATATTATAAAAAAGACACACAGGGCTTTTTCTTACTCTCGTTCTTTCCAATTATCATTTTATATATGAAGTATATTGTAAATTCATAATAATCCCCACCTTGGTAAATATATTTTAGGCATTAGAAATATTTAATATGTTTGGGGTATTATAAAACTTGTCAAGCTATTGTATTATTTATTAAACATTTTCTCACACATTCTTTTATAAATACTTATTGAGTACAAACTATATACTTTGCTGTTTAATAAGAAGTGACTATAAAAAATAAAAAAAGAGAAAAAATATTAGAAAAACATGGAAGAAGGAATGTCTGGGTCCTATCTTCAATTTTAAATAACAAGACAGTTTCAAAAGATATGTTTAATATTTTTGTATATTCAAACAACCTGAAAAAGACAATTTTTACAATTATGGAAGTCAATTATTATGTCAGTTAGGTTCTAGTCAACATTTCTTTAAGTTAGTTGTAATTATTTGTTTTTCACTCAAGTCTTTATTATTGTCCTAACTGCTTTTACACCCATTTCTTGTTAAGTTTACCTTTAATCATACTTTGGAATATAGAACAAATTTTAATCCATATTTACTTATGCCAAAATAGCATTTTATATTTAAGAATTTTTTTTAAAAACTTAGTCATTAATTTGATAGCTCTTTCTGACTTTGGACAGTAATCAGCATTCTACTCTGGTCATGTACGTTACCAATGCTTCTTTGTCTCTAGCAGTGTCCTTTGAACCAGAAGATCCTCACTCAGTTTTGCCCATAAGACATATGTGACGTCCAAGAAAATTTTTAGAATTAGAGGCTTTAAGAATATAATGGTCATAGTTAATTTGTAGATTGATATGGATTTTTTCTAAATGCATAATACAACAAGGTTGTCATTCCTTCTAAACTTATATTATCTCTTACAAAGAGCTAAGTGAAACAAACTAGGCATTACATTAAATGAGAACATAAATACTGTGATAATTAAATGAGAACATAAATACTGACTAATAATTGAATAAATCCTCAGCATTGTACTCATTTTATCTCATCTTTTTCTGACCTCACTATATGAATGATGAAATCATAGACCTCTGCTTGATAGTCAGGGAGTTTTGAAAACACACATCCACTTTCACTTCCTCATTTCATTGTGAAATGAGGAATAGTCACTGTTGAGTAATTTTTCTTATTTGTCAAATCCTCTAATGAATAGTTTATACACATTATATTCCATATGCTTTATGAGGCAAAAGCTATTGTTCCCATTGAACAGATGAGGAGACAGAGCTACATGCAGAAAGATGAAGTAACATGCCCAAAGACAGATACACACAGAGCTAGCAAATTGCAGAACTGAATATTGAATATGGTTTTGATTCGAAGCCTTATTCTAAGCACTTAAACCAACCCCAACTATTTTGTTTAAATTATTTAAGTTTATACCATCATAGCAGAGCTGAGTTTCTATACCCAGTAGTTGGTATGATCAATTTATTCTTATATGATTAAATTGGACTTAAATTTCAACCATATGTGACAGATTAACAACAATAATCTTGTGAAAGGATCATATCCAAGTATCTATACTAAATAGAAACCTTTCTATTTAAGGATGCCATGGGACTAATCTGTAGTACAATTATCTCTGAGAAGTGACCCTCCCTTGAGAAGGAACTCCAATGATGTTTTTATTATTCCACTGCAGTTCCAATGTTCCATATGAATAACATTAAAATTTTATATTGAAAGCCATTAGAGTTGGCTGTTTACTAGTTTAGATACTCGGTCTATCTTACCTTATAAATCATTGCATAGATTGTAAAAACCAAAGGATTTAAAGCTCTCATCAGGAGCCCATCAAATACTGTCACTATTAAATAATACCCTAAATTATTTAAAAAACAAACTATTACATAGACAAGTTTTCAATGATGATGCCATTTAACAGAAAGGTGAAAACTATAAACTTTATAGACACAAGGGGAGAATTAAAGGCATTAGTATTTCATTCAAGTTTCTATAAATGTTTATGATGAGGTGATGATGTAACCTTGAAAAGGTGCTATCAATCTGCATATGAATGTTAAGTCATTTGATAGAGAGATACTTTAATAACAGCAAAATTAAGGTAGATGCTTTTCTAAATTTTGTAAGTGGTTAAAATGTGCAAGTGAAAATTATGAATAGCTCCTGCTAGCAAATTAGGGTCAAAATCATGTCATAAAGAATGAAAATATAAGACAAGAATAACATTTGACTAGGTAATGCTCTTAAGACTTTTTTTCTGATATCTACAATTAATCAAAGAAAATGCAGTATTATTGTACTATTTGGGTTTGCTTGTCCTAGCTCAGTCATGTCACATAGTGACACTGTGTTCCATCTACCTCCTGTACTTTGTGACCAAAAGTAGAAGGGCTTTGAAAATCCTTACTTAAGGACAACTATTTTTAAGTCCAGCCTTCCTGAACATTTAATCTTCTTAACTGACAAGCTGGCAACACAGTCAAATAAACCTAGACTTTCTTAATAATCTATTAAATCATTTTGAGATTTTTGGTCATATTACTTAAGAAGAGAACATTAGAAACGTTAGGCACAATCCACCAGACACACTGGGACATCAAGAACAGAATTTGAGGCACAGTCAAATGCAGTCAACAAGGATTTGGAACTGGATTATGGTATTCACTGGCAAAGAACCTTCAAAATCCACCAATTGCAGCTTACCCGGCTCTGTGTTTGAGCTTTTTATCTAGGATCCCATCTCTGGAAACAAGTTTATTAAATACCAAAATGCCAATCACCATGTTGACCTGTCAAACAGAAACAAAGTTGACCTTTCAATAATTTTTGAAGGGAATTCGGTCTCTGTTTTATCAATTTAAAATCACTGTAGAGTTCTATAGTCACAAAAGTAGTGATATTAAGCTCTTCTCAAATGTTTTTATTAAGTGCATAAAGGCATATAGAACAATTTAACAGTGGTGTGTTACTGTAAATTTTAAAGTACACTAAGTACTTTAATTCCCATGATTTGCAGTTAACACTGGGGAAATTAACCTTCAATTGTCTTACTTTTAAATGGTACCATACTGTATCAATTTGACATTATTTTTGGAAAAAAAAACGTTATATAAAATCAATTGGCTTAATGAGTTTTACCCTACACTTAAGAGCCAAAAGATTTTGTATCTCAGGGTGTGAGGCTAGGGTGAGCTGTGGGAAACCAAGAGTGCTAAGCAGGGAATACAGAATGACCACATTCCTCACACTGGGTAGCTGTTCCCTCTTGTGGGATGGGAAAAGTGTTGTTGCACTATTTTTCCAGGCAAGAGAAAGCCTATTCAGCTCTCTAGAACCTTTAGGGGACAGAGAACATCAATTCTTAAAATACTGTCTAGTGAGCATTGCTCATCAATTCCTTTCCAAGACTGTCTTACTCTCACTTAAAAGTCCTTTTGCATTAAGACAGCTGAAATGAAAAGAAATTTTTCTTTCTCAAGTTAGGTTGTAAAAAGCCACACAGACAAACATCTGTTTGTAGCATCAGTATATCATGATAGGCACCCGTGGTTTTCTAACCTATCAACACCTCTTGATAAAGGAAACCTGTCCAATGGGGAAACCAAAATAATCAAGGAAAAATACATTTTTTTTCCTTTTGTTTTCCTTGTCTCTCACCCTCCATGATCCCTGAGCAACAGAATATCAGTGTAACTCTGGCCTCTCTGCCATTGCAAATGGTGAATATAAAGCTGAAATCTGTCAGATTGTTGTTGTAAAGAAGAGTCAAAGCACATCTGTTAAGTAGGGACTTAGGAGGTGTCACTCTTCACTGACAAGTTAGCAGTTAATCAAGAGAACACTTATTCATCTTTGTATTTCTCATTATTTGCACTAAGAGAAAATGTACATTCCATGGATTCTATTAATTTACAACTTACTCAGGAGGGAATTTATGACTACTCCAAAGGCCTTACTTTGGTGTTTCAATTATACACATACTCTTTATTTCTTCATTTTAGGGTTATATGTATATTAACCTAGTAGCTTAGGGAAATGTTTCTATTGATTAAATAAAAATTCAATGCAGCAGACAAAAATGTGTCTAATGGTTTTGATTTCCCTATGGTCTTCTCTAACATCATGCCTAGAGTGTTTTTATCCCTCCCTTCCCGCTCCCCCTCCCCCCCCCCACCTTGGAAAACACGAACTATTTCCTCTCCTTCTTACAGCTTAGAGGAGGGAGAACAAACTTGAAAGGAAGAAAAACTCAAATATCAGAGCTATTAAGAAAAATGTCATGAGCTTCCAATTTTTTGAATTAATTTTTCAAGCCAAACAGTAATTTTCCAACTAGAATTCTAATTGTACAGTGATATGAATCTTTGTATTTAATGAAGACAATTTCTTTCCTCTTATTATATCCAGATATTGTCTAGGCAAGTAATATTTATAATTAATAACCTCAGAGAGAGAGAGAGAAATTGGTAGGGAATTTCACATTACCATAATTAAAAGATTTAAGGCTAGGCATAGTGGTACATGCCTATAATCCTAGTGACTCAGGAGACTGGGGCAAGAGGATTGAAAGTTCAAAGTCAGCCTCAGCAACTTAGTGAGACCCTAAGTGACTTTATCTCAATAAAAATAATAGAAAAGGTTGGGTATATGGCTCAGTGGTTGAGCACACCAGGTTCAATCCCTGGTACCAAAAAATAAAAAATAAATTAATTAATGATTTAAGGAAGTATTTTGTGATTCCAAAAAGAATCAATTAGTTAAATGAGTTTTCCCTATGTTTAAGAGCCAGGGAACATCAGAAATATCTGGAGATGTTTTGATTGCCATAACTAGAGGATGCTACAGGTATGTGCAAGGTAGAGGAGAGGGATGCTGCTAAATATCCTAAATTATATAAGACAGACCCTACATCAAAGAAATGTCCAGTCCAAAATATTAGTATCATTGAGTTTAAGAAATATATTTGATATTTGGTAGTAACAGCCTTGAAGAAATCTCCCTATTAATAACTATATGTACTGTACAGAATAGTAAAAAGGTAAATGATAATAAATGATGAGGCTCTATATTTTGAAGAGTGAGAATTTATTAAAACTCAAAATTCTTTACAAGTCTAAAATCACTGTAAGAGAAATATCATACTCCCCAATTTAATATTCTTCAGTATTTAAAATATGAATATTTAGAGTATTAAAGAACTGAAAGCAATTGATATTCAAAGCACAGTAACAGTTCATTGAACATTAAAATTTGTACACAGCAAATACTTTATCAAAATTGCCACTCTAATTGAACCAAATTAAGTCTTCTGGCTAAGAAAGTAAATAAGTAGTTTTCAATGTTTACCAGGACAACAGCGGCTGCAGGTCCAACAAAAGCATACAGCAGCCCTCCTTCAAGAGAAAGCCAGCAGCTGAAATAACATTAGAGAAAAACTAACAGAAATTAGTGATAAGTATTAGACCACAAAAGCATGATACAAGTAACTTATACGTTTGGCCCTGAAATGCTGACACCTTTCAAAGATTTGTAATTAAGAAAAAAAACACATAGAAGATGAAGAAAAAGCTACAATTGGAGCTTTTGCAAGTGAGATATATATGGACCTCTCACTGAAGAGAAATTTCTGTTATAAGGCCTTAATTTCAAAGAGTTTACACATTTTAGACAAATTACTCTTTTGAGATTTCTGCATTTACTTTCATTATAAAGGTGATTATTACTTAAAAATTACAAAATGCTATTTTATTTCCCTTATGGAAAAATTTTTAAATATAATTTAAAGCAAGAACAGTATGTTTGTAGAGTCTTAGATGTGCTATTTACCTGTTTTTTCCTTGAGTCCATTGAGATATCAGGAGAAACTGGTTTAAAAGACATTATTACAGGAAATAGATAATCTATATTTGTATGCTATATTCTTTTAATTTTACTGTTTCCAAGACTACTAAGAAAACTCACTATTGATAACTTTTTTGAACAAAAATAAGTACAACTATGTTTGTTTCAAGGACTAAATTCATGAAGAGATGTCAATTTGCATTGAGAGAGATAGGACCCACATGGGTGAACTCAGAGACTGAATGTTCAGTCTCTTGCAGCAGAAGGCAATGAAGAGGCCATGGGGCTCAACCCTGGAGGCTCTGCAGGTGACATATCTGCACATTCACTTTCCAGGAAAATAGACACGAGGAAAGTGTGAGGGACTATTTTTACATTGCTGATGTAGAGCCATGCCCACAATTTCACGCACCTGGTTTTTGACATTTGACCTTTACACTACTTTTTCTCTATCCACAAAATTGGTGAGCTGCCTTCAAAAATGAAATTAGGACAGGGGATATGGCTCAGTGGTAAAGCTTCCTTGCATGCATGAGGCCCTGGTTCAATTTCCAACACAGCAGAGCAACAATAACAAAAAGTAGCATTATACAGCAACTGTTCTACATCTGTTCTAATAAAAAACTATATTGATTGTGGTGATAGTAACATGAAATGCATTTGTTAAAACACATATAACTGTACACTTAATAGGATAAATGTTACTCTATATAAATTAAATCTTAATTTATACCTTATTCAATTTATACCTGTATATAATTTATACCTTAATTTATAATTTATACCTTAAATTTAAATCTAGTAGTTACATATATATATGTACAAGTTTATATACCAATATATATGTTCACCATTTGTGTGTATTTATTAAAAGTTTGAATTTAGTTATTGCTCCTTGCCATTAACAGCAGAAAGATAAAATTTTATCTTCTTACTTTGAGGTAGACAACTAATACCCATTTTTTTATATTAAAAAATACTCGGAGAAAAAGATTGAAAAAACACTTTAATTTGGTGTCTCTTGAGGCTACCACCAAATTTCTACTATATTTTTGTGTAAGCAAATCTCCAAACTGAGATTTAGTTTGTCTTTTAAAGTGCTGTTATACCTTTCAAGTTATTTTTTTCTCCTAGGGTTTACATCACTATGAAGAAAATTTGTAGTCCTAAAATCAATACATGACTTATTATTTTATATTTGGCTTTAATTGATAACGCCTTGAAAGTAGGAACCATAACATTTATAATCACACTTGTTTTCATATTCATAATATAGAAATTCATCAGTACCAAAATAGTCATGTTATTGTAAAAAGTAATGATTTAAAAGTAATAGTGCTATAGTAAACAATGCTGTATTATAGATGCTATCAGAATTTTTTCAACAATATAGACTGCATAAGAAAAATAAGTGCTCTGATTACATAAGCTATTTAAACTCTTAGAAAGTTTCTTTTGGATTGGCAGGTGTACTGAAGTCCCTTGGTATCCTCCCAATACAGATAAACCCACCAGCTGGCCTAACTAGCAGTGAATCCTACCTCAAACCTGAAGGCAGTTAAATAGAACATTACATTTTAAAACGTAAGCCTTATAAGATGCACCCTATTTCCACATCTCTCAATTGTCTCCTCAAAATGAGAGTAGATGCAGTAATGTATGAAAATGCATTGTTTTAAATCTGAAATATCAAATATAAACTTTAAATTCTTTCAAAGAATTTTTTAGCTCTCAAAGTATAAGATGGGCTATTACCTGCTTTTCTCCTTTCTAACTTCTTTTAGCCCAGGTATTTTCTCACATGGAGTCTCTTACTTTCCCTGATTTATAATATCAAGCATATATGACCCTAAACAACAGTAAAACTTGAACTAACACACAAAAAACTTGGTTAATAACAATATACATTATCAAAATTATATTAGAAGTTCAGTGCAGAATCACATTCTAAAAGGTAAATATGTCAAGACTTTTATCCATTTCTGAAAAAAAAAAGTATTTTCATTTCAACATAAACAGTAAATACTGAAATATTTCAAAGCCAATTACACCAGTCTTATAAGAAATAAGAAAATTAAAGGAGGATTCTGAACAGTACCATGGTACTTTTTCCTTAACTTTTGTTTCTCACATTGTTCCTCATTAATAACTCAATGACAAAACACAAGCCACAGCAGTGTCACTCAAGACGACTGGCGCCTATTTGATGACTTGCTTAGTTTTAACATGATTTATCACTGTGGATGGACTTACTAGTGATCTGTGCCATATCCTTTCGTCCTGGTGAAGCCCACTGATGTGGCCACTACCAATGCTGGCAAACCTGCAAGAAGAGCAATGTCACACTTCATATTCAGCAATAGCCACTATGCATACTGGCCCTAGAAAAGCCAGGTCAAACTCTAGATATTCAAATCAGAGCAACTACCTTTGGATGAATCACCTCACAAAGTATGTTTCCATTACAAACTTTCTTTCAAGTGTCAAATATGAGAGCGACAGCTGGTATTTCAACTTGGTGCACTTCCTTGATGTTGCTAGGTTACCACCACATTTGACACAAGTTTAAAGGGAAGTAATAACAGAGATTTAGGGTATCTTTTAAGTTATTTTTTCCCTAGGGGTTTACACAGTTATAAAGGAAATTTATAGTTATAAAATCTGACAGGCAAAAACTAGATGATCTGGTGTGATGGAATTTTACAGAAGTGGAACATTCATCTGGCCACATATTATTGATCCATGTCAAATTGTACCTAAGATAGAAAAAGTAAACCTTATCAATTAACATTTTCTTTATAATTTACTTATAATAACAAAAATGTGGGAACAAGAAGTTTAATTACCTGCATATCTGCACCATTTCTGACTTTACAATTTATTTTAGTTTATGTTGTTTATGTGAATCACCTATGATCTCATTCAAGTTTAATGAAGGAATTTCCCTTTATTTTGATGAATAAAGGCCAATCTAATCTATGTTATTTAAAGCTTTTGTTTGTTTGTTTGTTTTTAAGTTTCAGTTGTGCCTTCTTTTCAGGAACATCATGTTTGCCTTTCAGATTTAAAAACCTATCACCAAATCATCCTTTTGTGTACCTCTTTATGTTTTCTTTCTTCCTATCATTTCCCATATTTCTTACTATTCTCTTTCTTCTGGGAGCCTTCTCTAGTGCCATCACATTCATTTGTGAGGTATAATGACAAGAACTATGGAGAGCATCTCAGAGGGACCTATCACATTTTTGACCAAATACTGATGACTCCATATATAATATAAATTGTGTATGTAGTATCTTCCTCATCTCCACCCTCCACATCCTTTATTCTGCGTGTGATTTGTTGACTTTTTGATTGACTGGACCAAGTTAATTAGAAAACAATCTCCCTTGAGTAATAACTAAATGATGAATAGTCTTTGTTTTATATGATTTGAATTTGTATATATATATCTTTTCAAAATTCATTATGTCACATTGTCCAGACTAAAACACACATGCCACTATTCTGCCCATCATGTAAACTTTTGCTACCCATATATATTAGCTGTATATGTGGAGAACTGCTGCCAACCCTCTCCTCAAGATCTTGAGGAACCATGTTAAATAAATCTCCACTCTTTATTAAGAATTTTGGTGTTTTACTTGCATTCTGTATTTCTAATAATGACAATTTGTCTAACTAATGACAAAAATGTTCCCTTAATCAATAGTAAGTTCACTTTGGATGATCTTTGTCATGGAGTCTAGACAAATTTTATGAAATTTTAAGTAGAAAACATCCTTCAGCTTTTCTTAGCTGCCTTCCTGTCCCAAGTATTGATACACTTGTTAAACATGTATAGACTCATACTGAAACCAGGGATAATCTTTAATTGTTTTTAATCCTTTTTTTCAGCATGAATTATTCTCATATTTTAATAAGCACACTAATAGGTAATTTCCCAGGATCTCACTAACCTGTTCTCAACTTCTTATACACTATTTATTTACTGGTCTAAGATTCCTCAGTTATTTTAGTGTAAAGGTTTTTTTTTTTTTTTTTTTTTTTTATCAAAGACAAACAAGAAAATTCCTGGGCTTTTTCTAAAACCAGCTTTTAAAATTAGGCTCTCATTACAAATGGCCCTATGAAATGTGTAAACCTTCAAGATGTCTGTCATAAAGCGACTTAAAAGAAAATTTTCCCAATAAAAACAGGCAAAGAAATAATGAAATCTATCTGTTTGCAATTCTATTTATACTTTTGAGGACCCCACTGGTTACACATGAGATTTCACTGATTGTTTTATTGGCTTTCTGTCTATGACATGAATAGGTGTATTCTTTAATTGTTTTGAGACTTCTTGGGATAGAACTCCTAGTTTGGGGAGGGGAGAATATGCTAGTGAAAAATCACATCCTGAAAATTTAAGACATTTTACATTTTCAGAAAGTATTAGCAGAGATCTTTCCATCTCTGGTCTCATTTCACACTGTGCAGACACTGTTGCCTTCTTAAAGTTCCAGATGACCAATGAATGTTCAAATGTGACCGCCCTCATATATTTCTACTTCATATATCAAATCAGACACAAAGCAGCCTGTGGATAATCACTGTACTGCTTCAGGGTACAGAAGCTTGAAGTCATTTAACAAGAGCTCGAAAGGGTATGTAATATGCTTACCCCATCCAAGGCACAAAAATCGTTTCCTTATAAGCCGTGTCCTAATTTTTCCAGTTACAGCCATATATGACTGCCACGCCTCAGTCAGAACCCAACAGAAGGAAGCCAGGAAGAAAAAGTGCAAAAATGCTGTGGTAGTTGTACAGATGCTCTGTGGAAACAAAGAACAGACTCACACTGGACTGTGGTGGGGACTCAGGTGTCCTGCAGAGGGTTCTAAATCTCTGGCTCAGCCTTCACTTTTTCTTAGTGCCATGTAATTATTTACAGAAATTAGAAGTCGGGCAGTCTATGCTGCCTATGGGTCCCTTTGACAGAACAAAATATGTGTCCTAATTCGTTTGTGTGTTAGATTTCTTTTATGAGAACTAGGAAAGTAAATTTGAACTCAAGGGAGATTAAAATTACTGCTTTACTTTAAAATTTTTCTGGAAATATAATTACAGGAATGGTCCTCTTCTTTGGTTTAATTTAAGTTACAGACATCTTGCATAATTATTTTGGCTACAGTCTTTATCTTTCCTTTTTATCCAAGAATTCTTCTTTGTTGTTTTGTCTGGGTTGATGTTAAGATTACATTTGCAAGAGTAACAGTCTTTCAAAAGGAAAATTTTCTTTGCTTTTATATATGCATGATACTCATGATACAACAGCAAAGTACAAAATGAGGTTTGGCTAATAGCCTAGAACAAAAATAACATATGTATTTTAAATTACTTAATACTCTGCTTCAGTATTATTACATTGCAACATGTGTCTTAATCCAGTCATTTTGAAAAGCTAATTGGGTCACTCGTAATACACAGGCATGATTTCATAGATATTTTTCTTCATACAACTTAATCATTCTAAATATGTGAACCATTAGTTGTGACTTATTTGCAAAAGACAAGCAGCTTCGTTTTGGTAAATCCTGCTAAATATTTCACTATTGGTACAATTTCCTTGTGTAAAATCTTGTTGAAACGCCAGTTGTCACAGACAAGAACAAGCAACAGGGCTAACTTCTTCCTTTGTCAGTCTCAGTCTTGCTGTTTCCAGAAACTGAAATCAACCAAAGAAACTAAACTAAAAAAAATTAAAATTAAAAACAAAAAAATTATAAAAAAACCGCAAGCAAGTAAATACAAATAGGATCCTCATCCTCCTACCTCCAATTCAATCTAATGCTAAACGAAAACCTTATAAGAATTTTTATTTTGGGGCCAACATTATTCATCTTAGTTACTTATTCTTTTGCAATTTACCAGGTATTAATTTAGCTTCCCAATTCTTTTAATCCCATATGAAGAACTTTTTCATGCTTATCTCACCAGGCTGTTCCAGTGATAAGAGATAATCTACACTGTGCTAGGCATACAGCAAATACTCAACCAATGATACTATTAGCATTATTATGATAAATAGCACTTAAAAAGGTGGTACCATATTCAGCATGTGATACCTTATTTCAGGCAGTACTTATATCTGCTTAGTCCTTATGTTTATGCTCGTAAAGATGTCAAGTATCAGTAAGATAAAGCCATGGATTTCCATATGCTCTTCCCCACTCCTTTGCTCCTATCTCAAGTATAATGTAGAAGGTTTAACCAATTATGACTTCTTCTATACTTGAGACATTGGGACTTTCCCCCCAAGTCCCAAAAGTTTAAAAATCTACAGGCTGACTATTCTGACTCTGATCTATAGTCTCTGATCCCAATTTGAAACTCAAAATAGTTTTTCCAGTCAATATCTAGGGCTAGTTATGCTTTATAATTTACATTTCATTTTCTTCCCCCAATTTGTATTATCTCAATTTTAAGTGCTAGCAATGCATTCCTTGTCCATTTAAACACCATCAATAAAGGATTATATCAAACAATGTAAAAATGTTGAATGGTAGACCCTAAGTGTTGAATGCACTAAAATTTTATCAAAAACGATTAAGTACTCAATACCTGAATACAGAGATTTTTAATCTTCTTTGTTTCTATTGTGTTTATTACTTGGAAGTCCATCACTTTAATACTAATAGAAATTGGAGTAGATTTAATTTGGGGCTAGTGGCATTTATTTCAAAAATTCATGTCTCTCTGGAAATAATATAAGCCACAGCGTACGAGGAGAATGAATGGTAACTAAAGTATGGCCTGTTTCTGCCTGCAATCAGTGGCACTGTAGTATGGCCAGATGACTCTTCAGATGTCTTGAATGTGCTCTAAATTGGAGATCAGCTGTCTTAATTTAAAGGACTGTACGTGTGGACTAGAGGGGTCTAAAATCACAAAACTAACCTCAGAAGAGGACAGCAAAATCTATGTTCCTGAGAAACAGAAAAAGGGATTACATTTTGCTTCATAATCACTTGAATAAAAAGTAGAAAAGCAAATACTTGACAGATGGAAACACACATTGATTTTCTTCTGATAGCTATATTTGCTAAGTTGTAATAATGTCAATAATATGTTTCAAATAATTATTATAATTAGCAATTTTCCGATGACTTCTGCAATTTTCCACAAATGTCACATCTGCTTCCACAGAAGTTGTCATTCCAGTGTTCTGGGCTCAGAATTCTTTGTCCTTTTCCCCCACATAACCTAAATTCCACATCAGCAACCCCCAAAGATTAAACATCCCTTAAGTTCCTCAGTACTGGGGCTTTTGCACTTAAAAACTTCCAACTTTTGCACTTAAAAACTTCCATCCTCCTTTTCTAAAACAGGTTCATGTCTTGACACCTGTTCATTATTACCATAAATGAACCCACCATGATGAAATTGGCTCTTACAGTTTTTCCTTCTGCAGCTCCTGTGTGTGTACTCCTGGATCTTACTTTAGAAGGGTCTTGACAGCTCATAGTTCTGAACGTGAAACTCAATGGAACCTCAAGTCTGTCATTAATTCTTTGCTTTTCCTGTCTTGCTAAACCCTAGTCTGGTCTTGTCAGTATTACTGCTGATAAGTGTTACTGACAAATATTATAAACTTGAAGAAAGCTTATTTAGGTTGTTAAACTGAGCATTGTTCATACATAGCATGCTTGTCTACATCCTTTATCCCAGATCCTTAGAGATAATAGAAGAGATTCTTTAAAAAATAACTGACAAGAAAGGAAGTAAAAGTGGTGCTGAACCAAAGACTGTGGGAAATCTGATAAAAACCAAAAGCAGATGAGAACAGACTGAAGATGGACACTGAAGTCCAAAACGAGGTGTTGGGAATAGAGATGAAGATGCAGAAAGTTGGAAAGAGTTATATTATATGAATGACACCAAAGTCCTAAAATATATTTTAAATATTTCCAGAAGAAAGAAATAGAGAAATAGAGGGAAGGGCAGAATCTAAAGAAATATTATCGAAAAATTTCTCAGAACTTTAAAACTTCTCTTGGCTCTGGAATAGATGATGAAACACACATATACACAAGTGTACCCAAATATATTATGGTGAAATTTGTGAGCATCAAGAATACAGAGAAATATCTTTAAAGCTGTCAGAATGAAAAGAAAGATTACTTACAAAGAAATAAGAATCAGATTGACATCAGATTCCTTGTAAGCCACCCAGGATACAATGAGGCAAAGGGATAATAGCCTCGACATTCTAAGGAAAATAACTTTGAAGTTAGAATTCTACATCCAGCCAAACTATTATTCAAGTGAGAGGCAGAAATAACGATATTTTTAGAACCAAAAGGAACTGTGAAGTTTAGTTCTTTTAGGATTTTCTCTGCAAGAATTGCTGAACAATATAAACCACTCAGAAGAACTCCAGGAGGAGGAAATGAGATAAAAGAAGTGATAGATGTAATAGATAGCAAAGAAAGAAATAAAATATGTGCAACTAAGTAAACCTTCATTTAAATATATATACATATATAATTTTATAAATGTAGCCACCTGGATATTAAATTCACAATAATATCAGTGAGAGTTCAAAGATGTGAGAGGTGAGAGTTACAAGATGCAGAGGAAGACAAAATTATGTTAATTTTCCTTTTACTCAGGCATATTAGAGATATTGATTAACTCCAGATGATAGAATAAATATGTCTGAACATACATGCTAACAATGTTAAGGAAAACACAACAAGTAAAAACAAATTATATATTTGTAAAATAGCAGAGGAAAAATAGAACTAAAAGCAGTCTTCTATTCCTCCAGTTAAAGGTGGGTAAAGGAACAACAAACTAGGAAGAATAATAAATACAAAAAAATAAAAGAGAAAATAATTCCAAGTACATCATAAATTACAAATTAAGGGATGCTTAAATTCACTGCAAAAGGTTGAAAAGACTTTCATATTGGATTTAAAAATCCGGTTTCAGAAATGTACTTATGAGACATCCCTCAATCCCAATGACACAGGAAGACAGAATGAAGGAATGAAAAGAAATTAATTAAGCAAATGTTAATATGAAAAATTCCAATGCTACAATGTTAATACTGGAAAACCCATTTAAAAAGATGAAGAGGGCCTTTTCATGGTGATAAAAGGAGCAGACCATGAAGAAGATTCAGGAGAAACACATCTCTATGAAATCACTAACCATTTTTCACAGAAAATGAAACAAAAACTGAGGAAACTAGAAGAATAAACTATCAAACTAAAATTATAATCAGGGACTTAAGATACAGCTCTTAGCCACAGAAAAGCAGAGGCAAATATAACAAATGAACAATTAGGATAACACAACCAGAAAAAGAGATTAATATATTTTTTTGTTACATACATAAGTGTATGCACATTTCTTCAAAATACAAACGGAGCATTTTCAGAAGCTAACTAGTCCTATAACAGAAAGTGATTAAATAAGTCCAAGAAAGTTTATAACATATAGAATATTTTCATAATACAATGAAATTAAAAATAAAAGTTATAATTCTCAACTCTTGGGGTAGAAAAAGCTTTTAAAATATTAACGATTTTTAAATGAAAAAATATGAATTATAATTTTGAATAACAGGGAAATTTATATATCAGAACTTGTAAGAGTTTACTATAATGATATTCAGAATTTTTATACCTTTGAATATATGGAAAACAAGAGAACATGAAGACATTTGGTTAGCTTAAAAATCAGAAGAAGGGATTTATAAAAGACAATCAGAAACGTAAAAAATGGAGAAGTAAAAGTACCATAAAATTTATCTATAAAACCCATA